GTCTTGTCAGAAGTCTGCGAGTTATCATCGCCAGCAGCCACGCAACAGCCAGTCGTGGCGGAAGGAATAACTGGATCGAGATAATCGATCGCAGGACCGAGAGAGCTTTTACGAAATTGTAGGCGTTTCATTTTATCGTAAAATCATATCGATATGACGTAAGCATTAGCAGTAGCGTAGTATATTTTATAAAGAATCTTAAATTTTCTCAACGCGCCAAACTGCGTTTTTGTTGAAAGCCTTTCCGAGGCTCATTTGAGCTCCTTAATCGATTTGTCCAGTTTAAATATAATTTTCTTATAAATTGTTGTTAAATTTTAAATCAAATAAAAGATTCAGGAACAAGAGTCTGCCCGAGCTACAGTTAAACTAGACTAGATCGGTAAGATCGAAGCACATTTGCCTGGTTGATCTGCTCGTTGTCCATCACCGAGAAAAATGCTTTCCATGCAATCACAGACAGATATACTACTCCGACCGTATGGACGTGGACGTGCCGATGCTCGGCGACTGTGATTTGCGACTAGTACGAGGACATGTACGTACACATTTTGAAGAAGAGGAAAAGAATCTGTAAAAGAATACTCGTCTCTTTCTTCGATTCGAATTTTTTTAAAACAAGAGACTAAAGAAGAGGAGAACGACACATTTTTAAAAGGTTGGTTTAACCTTTGTTGGTAGAGCGTGTCAGTTCGCTTCGAGTCGCTTTTGCCGAGCGAGCCACGGATCGTCGCTACCACGCTGGCTATCACGCGATGGCTATCGCGATGGTCGCGACGACGCTGGTCGGCGTCGCCGACTCGGCGACTTTGTTGGCGACTCAACCAACAAAGTGGTTGCGACCATCGGATCGCAGCGCGATGCGACGCAACGACCGTTAGTTGTTACCTCGTTACGGCGCCGCGAGATGGCGTTGAATAGCGTCAGTCTCGGTGAAAATGGAGCCGCTCGAGTGAAGGTGGGTGATTCTGTGTGCGCGTGTGAGTCCGGAAAGTGCTATTTCTCGGAGATGTGGCAAGATCTGGGCGGTTTAGGGAGTGTAGGAGTGAATTCCGGTGTTCACCAAGCCGACCAGTTTGGAACGACGGGTAAGGGATTCGTCGATAAATTCGACGAGTTTGATGCGTCCAGGCTGAGCCTGGAGCAAAAGCCAATGTACATACGTACACCCAGGAGTTTTTCTTCGTGACAAGGAGCGCACGCGCTCTCGCCTCTCGCCTCTCGCCTCTCGCCTCTCGCCTCTCGCCTCTCGCCTCTCGCCTCTCGCCTCTCGCCTCTCGCCTCTCGCCTCTCGCCTCTCGCCTCTCGCCTCTCGCCTCTCGCCTCTCGCCTCTCGCCTTCCTTGTCCTATACATTTATACAGATGTGTACGACGACGTACGACGTATGGCATAAAGCATACGGCATGCGACATATGCGATACGCGTAGTAAACAAAACGACACGATTCTGACTTTCGTCCAATTTTCTCAAGATTCCTCGCCTCCACGCATCCTCGCGCTCCAACGTTTATCGACACAGCGAGCATCGATATCAACATGTACTATCTTGCGTTGCACTCAGAATTTCAAAAGAAACTACTTTTTTCTTCTGTCGCTATCATTCTTCTATCGATTCTCACATTTGTAATGTCAAGTTTGCAGTAACGATTAAATCGTTCTCGACAAATCATTTTTGAAAAAAGAGCTTTTTGAAAGAGCGCAACTTTTGTGTAGCGTCTTATTTTAACTTTATGAGACATTTAATCAATTAAATCTTTAGAAAAAATAAACAGCCAAGATTTAATAATCGCGGGATTGCTTGTCTAGATAAATTTAGATCTCTCTTTTAGTTCCAGTAGCATTGCTATTACGTAATTGACAAAAATTGGACGAAAAACGGAACACATGTAGTCTCAATGCAAAGAACCGTTACGATTGTCCTATCGACCTAATCATGTAATCGTTGGCTCCTTTTTCGAGTAACGATCAGTCGTTAGACGTCAGGATGATCTAATAAAATCAATGTTAAAGAGCGAACGAAATTCAGTCGCAGCGTACACGTATGATATGCTCATGAATTTCTAGCAAATAAATGATCGTCCGATTCGAATCGGATTCGTATATAATTAAAGCCCGCCAAAGTTGCAATTACAGAAGCGATCGGCTAACATTCGCTTTTACAACCCGTGCGTACGTAGTAAAGCCTTCATTTGAAAGCTTTATTTTTAGATCTTTCCATAAATTGCTGGTAACGAGGGCTCTCCTTCGCAACGGAGACACGACGTTCCGATCTGTAATCATCCCTTCCTTTAACGATTATTCGAGAATGCTTTGCAAAGAAGAAAAACGTTTACGCGTGTTGGCAGAAATTCGTCGAAACGCAACGACATTCGTCGCGTCGCAAATGTCGCTCATGTTCTTGCACTATTTACATTTGTAATTCGGTGACTATTTTATGGTTGTAGAATTGACTCCCGAGCAACAAAAGATCCTGATAGATATAAGGCGGAAGAAAACGGAATTGCTGCTCGAGATACAAGTGAGTATATTATTTCGGCTAAGATTTTGAAAATTTTCAAGATTTTTCCGTAACGTCCCACTAGAAATATAAGAAATATATAATCTATTCTATATCCGATAGTTGTGCGATAAAAAGCGATAAGTTCGAAGTATCGAATTTCTAACGATATGTCTTATCTGCGAGTGAAGAATGATATCGTTCGTCAAGAAGTTTTTATTTACAGGGTGATTCTTACAGGGTTGAAAAGACATATTCCTGACTGAATTCTGAGACAATTTTTCTTTTTGTAAAATTTTGTCCGAGGCTTAAAAGAAAATAATTAGCCAATTATGGATCGAATAGAGAAGATAGGTAAGGGCGGCGCACATCATCGTAGACGCCGGTGTTGCGTGCTATTACAATTAGCCAATCGGACGCATTTAAACGGATTTTAAAGATTATGATTATCTTAAACTATTATAAGTTTATTTGCTGTAACTTCTTGAAATAGACGGAGGAATAACTTTACCGCGAACACAAGTGTTGTAATAAACAATAAACACTTATGTCGAAAGTAAAGTTCGCGGGAAGTTATTCCTCCGTCTGTTACAGCAAAATTATCGAATCATTTAAGGTAATAATAATCTTTCAAATCCATTTGAGTCCGTTTGAATGCGTCCAATCAGCTGATCGCAGCACGCGATCCCCCACGCAACATCTGCGTCTACGGTGACATCTGTCGCCCCTGCCTATCTTTTCGACTCGTAATTGACTATATTCTTTCATAATTTAAAAATGAAGCCTCGGACAAAATTTTGCGGAAGGAAAAATCGTCTCGGAATTCAGTTAGGAATATGCTTTGATATGAAATGTCACATTTATCGCTTGCATTTCGCGTTCGCGTTTATCGCTCGTAGATGCAACGATGCAAACAAGTGAGTCTGTTTTACCGATATTGTTCCACTGGGCAGATACGCGGTGGCACCTGGCATCACTCGAAATAAATTTAATGGGATATATTTAGCACATTTTGTAATATTTCTTAATAAATGAAGTTTAGCAAACTTTACATACAAAAAGAAAGAGAGCATATATTCCAAATTTGAATAGAACTTACCTTTCATGCAAATCATTGCATAATTGTGAAATTATGTCCGTTGACAATCGTTAAACCCGATTTAACTTCTTGGAATAGCGAGTGTTTGTAAAGATACGCTTTTAATTACGTAATGCCAATAGTTTTTTTTTTAATTTTGCTATAATGAATATTTCTTCAATATCGTCATACAGAGAGTGATTATACCAACTTATTCGATAGAAATAGGAAATTGAGGAAATATAATCTCTATTATACGCTTTGTCATGTTCAATGATTAATATGGTAGTGAAATGTCATGACTAGAAAATATATATCTGTATAGCCAGAAAATTTCCAGGATGTTCTTACGATAAGAATTTCCGTCATGCCCGATAGTCCCGCTTACTCATCTGTTTGCGAGTTGTATATCTGTTTAACAAAATGAGACATAATCACGCGTCGCGGCTTGGTGAATAAAAAAAGAAAAATTACAATACTATCTCCCGTGAAAATCTTTCTATGCGTTAATCCATTCGAATAACGCGCTCATTGCTTCTATTTGTGGAATCTAAGGGATATCAAAATAGAATCGTCATTGTCATAATACAGAGCGTCGAAAGTGTTGATTGTTGTCGAGTACGGTTTATCGCGATCGATACTAGACTGCGACTTGAGACGCGTCGAAGAAACAGCAAGAGCAAAAAGATTTTTGAATAAATTTCAAAAGTCACGTCGCTGTTTTAATTTAACACGTGCGCATCTTGACGTCAATGACGCGAAACTCGTATGTTTCGGAGCAAATCGCACAGATTCGGGACACGCTGGTCGTGTTCGTCGAGTTGTCTAACGTTTGGAATACGAAGCAAATGTCGTCAACAGGTGATGCAATTAATAGTTTTTATCAATAACATTTTCTCGTATTCAAGAGCACGTTGGCTTAGCAGTCACGTTGGTTTATTAGTGCTGGTTTATTAGTGCTTGTGCTTGTAACAAATAGACTAGGCGCGTGTGCAATTAATTTATCATCGCTGATTCAGCGACCTTAACGACTTCCGACATTGTATGTATTAGCTAGCCTAACTATTTACATATAATTTTAAATCTCGATATATCATTTTATCGATCAAATTTTTCTCGCGCGCGTACGGCTTATCGAACTTGGCTCGCCAAGTTTATATTCGCGAACGTAATTCGATAGAAAAAAATATACATTCTCAATACCTATAATTTAACGAGGGTTCTCTCTCTTTCTTTGTCTGTCTATCTGTTGCTCTTTTTGTCTCTCTGACGCATCTGACAAGGAAATTGACAATTATAAAAAAAAACAATACTTTTAATTTTTCCAGAAATCTTGTTATTTGTGTATACGAAAATAATTGCTCGATCTTTGTACATCGGATAGCAGTGCGGTTTGAAACATTTGGCACTGAAATGAAACTGAATGAAAAAGAGTGTGCAAACGAACGTTAAAGTTAAAAGGATAAATGTTGCACCACCGAGAATAAGTGTCAACAACAATGAGAAATGTTAAACATCTCGCGATATTAGGCAAATGTTTATTTGATCAAGTTGCGTGATACATTGATACGGCGACAAGTGAAGAGTAACTCTGGATCGTAGATCGTGACATTAACGGAATGACGCATATACGATAAATCGTGTGCGGCGCAAGTAGTTTCCCGAAGAGGAAGTAGCGCGCGCGCGGTTGACCATTAGCTGACACATCTATTTCGTAGTAACGAGTCAACGAGCAACGAGTCACTTGCGTTCCACTCTTTATTCGCGCGTTCGAACGAGCGACGCGACGTGTGACACGAGAACACGCGGCACGCGACACGAGAACACGGTCCATCTTCCCGGCGTACCTCGGCAGTCTCGGCGGTCTCGGCCGACCTTGTGACACAGGCGGTAACAGGTGGTATCCTGTCGATTCTCGATACGATTCTGAGTCATTCATCCGAAATCTGACGTGACGTGACGTGACGCGACGCGACGCGACAAAGTCGCGTCAGTGACTTATGTGAAACTATCGAGTTGGAGCTGCTCTATCAGATTTCGACACAACTCTTTGATAATCCCATAGCATGCCAGCGGTAGACACTTCTTGGAAATGCACACACATGCGTTTCACGGCGATCGCAAATATTTGCATGTCGGTACTAATGGTGGCCGCGACGAGGCGCTAGCGGGCGGAGCCGCTCGCCAGAGCCACCAGAGCCGCCGTAACCCCGTAGTTACAGACAGTTGCGGGGAATCGTGTGACAACGGTGGACGATGGTTGATAGTTAGCTGGTAGTACCGAGGACGGTACGTTCACAGCGAATCGGTGTTGTCGCGCACGCGATTCACTCGCGGTAAATCGCTCTCTCGAAACGTTGTGTCTGTCGCGAGAAACTCAAAACAAACTTACAATTACTTACGCTCGTCATCTTCCACGTGGCTGTGATCTTCAAAGTACGTGTACGCGCGAGAAATTTCACTTTCTCACAGTGCTCGAGAAAAGCATAGAGATGAGGTGTTGAGAGTGAGGGGGGGGGGAGAGAGAGAGAGAGAGAGAGAGAGAGAGAGAGAGAGAGAGAGAGAGAGAGAGAGG